CCCCAAAACCCCAAAACCCCAAAACCCCAAAACCCCTTGGAAAAATCTTGGTATTGAAATCTCCATCAGGTGGGATATTAATTTTCCATCCTATAGAAAAGAACAAAAGCTTTTTCATCCTGGGTAATGTCCTTGTGATAATTGCTTACTGAACTGTCATTGAAGCATTTCCAGCCTCCTTCTCTCTTACATGTTGAAATATAGTGGCCTCCGTGTAAGCTTCCCGAATGCTGAATGATGCCCATTAAAGAATAATTTATGTGCTTGGTAGGCTGGTCAATCTCGAATTTTTCATAATATTTCATTCTACCATTAATCTTGGATTTACCATCTTCAGACTGTCTCTGAAAAGGCATTATCAAATATTTTGGGTATTTTGTAGTTCTTTTCATATGCTTTATCACTACCTCTTTCCCACAAGCTTCACATACTTCATCATACTCAAAATCTTCAGAAGCAGGATTCAAAAACTTCCTGAACCCGATCTCTGCATCATACTCATCACACTCAAGTGGGACTCCTAAGAAGGGCTCGAATGAGGGTTCATCAGTCCCACAGTTGGGGCATGCAACCGATGTCTGGTTCATACCGTAGAACAACTCGTCTATTTTGGAAGGAAACTCATTTATGTATGCATCCCATGCTTCTTCAGCGTTGGAGTGGCCACCAGAGTCGAACTCTCCAGTGGAGAGGTTTAGCTCAGACCGAAGTTTTGATAATAAGTCGAGGATGAATTCGTTAGAGCAGTGCATTCTGCTGCTAGGGAAGACTTCTTCGAAGAAATCCCTGATTTCTTTGGTATTAATAGACTGATTTGTTGAAGTGACGTAGTTGTCTCAGAGGGATTTGAAGTGTCTAGTGAATTTGTAGTTTGAAGTATCTGGGTTGGAGGAGTTTTCAGGCTGGCTTAATGGACCGAATACAGCAATTTCGTCTACAAAATAGGATTTGAACTCTGGGATTGAGAATAAAGCCTGAAGTGAAGAGTTCAAAAAGCAGTCTAATCCAGGATTATATATTCCTTTGTTTTTTGGAGAAAATTTCTCAACTTGTGAATAGTTACAACTATCAAATCTTCTTGAGTCTCTTCCTACATTTCTTCTTCTCTGATTTTGTTGCGTGTCTGTTCTCTTTGGCTTAATGTCTACTTGAGCTCATTTATCACTAGATGTTTTCTTTTCAGAATCAGGACTGATTGTTTGTCAGTCTTTTTCATGGACATTTTTTATTTCCATATCATATTGACAGGCAGAGTCCTTTGTTTGAATAATCATTACCTGAGGTTCCTGCTTATCCTCTTCTTCTGTTTTCTTTTCTTTTATTTGCTTTTCCTTCTCCTTTTTAAATTCCTCTAATGGATTCTCTTTTATCTCTCCTTCTGATTTATTCTTTGATTTCTCTATTGATTTATCTTCTAGCTCTTCTGCCAGTAGATCATTTAATTCTTTTGACTCTACCTTCACATCTTCTTCTGTATTCTTTTCTGGCTCTCCTTCTGAACCCTTTACTGGCTCTTCTCCATGGCCCTCTTCCATCTCTTGCTCACTCTCTACCATATTCTCTGACTCTCCTTTTGTCTCCTCACTTTCCTCCTCCAAACACCCATCTCCTCATCCCTCTTGCTCTTTCTCTCCATCTCTACTTGCCTCCTCTTCATGCGCATTCTCTTCTCCCACTTGTTCCAGACCACCCACAGCTTTAACATGTCCTTCTTTGTACTCTCCATTACGAAGCATAAAGAAAAACAAGCTTCTGGACCAATCAGCTACGAGGGCTTTTGATTTAAGAGAATCGTTCTCCTTTGGCTTCATCAAAGGGATTAGAAAGGTAGAGCTGAAGAATATAGCGTAAAATCAGGAGCTTATGAGCATTGATGGTTTAATTAATGATTTTGTAGTCTTCAATTTCGACTGGTATATATGGGGTTTTGGGGTTTTGGGGTTTTGGGGTTTTGGGGTTTTGGGG